ACGTATTCATTGTGGGAATCATCACAACGAGTAAGAATCAACTACCAAACTTGGGGTCGTAGTAGGTGACTAGTCAGGTCATTTTCAATGTTGCATACAAAGAAATTAATATTTTGCAGGTGTGCGATGGAGAGTGAGAGTAATTGAGTGTGAAGTTTCAAAAAAAAACAATTCTCACGTTTCTGGTCAATTATACAGCCAGGTTATACTCTAATCACTTTCCACTAATCACTTTCAATCATGAAACAGGAGCACAGATCTTCATAATCATTTTTTGAAATTTTTTAATTTCTTTTGAAAATTTTTGAATTTTTTTCAATTTGTGCCTAAATAAGGCACAAATTAAAGCTCTTCATAGCATGCTTTTTTACCTTTTCTCTCTTCCTCCCCCCCTAGACTCACATACCCCCTTCACCCTGGAAGGTCAGGAACAGCCGAGACCCCCTTCACCTGGGGAGAGCCCGGCTCCCCCTATCGCACCTATGGTGCTGAGGCGCGATGAGATCAGCTCCGACCCGCCTCAAGAGAGATGCCCTGATGGGGGTTTACCACGGATCATCTTAAGTTCACATGTCTCTTTTATGATCACATTGGTACGATCGCACATGTTCGATGATATTTGAATAAATTAATAAGATAAACTTCCTAGCATAACAATTTGTCAACCCGCGTTGCCTACTGCCAGAGTCACCATACGATGAAATGCAGGGAATTGGTAGATTGCAGAAAAGCAAAGAACAATAATATTTACCAAATACACAACAAATTATAGAAAATCCTAGACTAACCCTTTGTTCAACGATGATCACATCGAATGGACCAGGGCACCATGGACATCGACTGTATGCTTCTGCACAGTCAAATTGATGTCGAAACATTTGGCTCGAATCTCTAATAACTTTTTACCCAATTCTTCTTCCGGCATCATAGTGGTAATCATATCCCAATGATGTCGAATACGGCCCTGAAACTCTAAGTCATCGGACCATAACTTCCTCTACCAACAAGAACTTCATTGCGCAACCACAGCTGCCGTAGATTACGGCTAGCAGTCATTCATTAATGGTCAAGCGAAAACTTACGATTGTTTCGACGAGCTCCTCTTGCAAGGCACGGGTAGAAGCTGTCTGATCACATAACGCGGAAAACCGTCGGTAGGATCAATGCCGACAACTTGGCACGAAAGTGCCAAATTTTCTGGTTTACCCTTTGCCCAATGGGAAACGAACGAGTGCCAGGCTTTTTTTTTTTGAAAATCTCAATACGAGGAGAAATATAAGCTCCATAAAATCTAGAAATATTTCTGTACGTAATCTCCAATTTTGTTTGTGCCGAACAGGTTTGTTATGGTGGTATCTTTATTCGAATGGCCTAACTTTTCGGCGCGTTCGCCGTCCTCAGAGGCCTAAAAACGAGATAAAGCATCATCCATGGCACCAGACTATCAAATGTCTCTTCTAGCTTAGCTGGTTTCGACTTCTTTCCTAGTTCAATCCGCAAAAATTCTCAAAAACCGAAATGAACCAACCGTTTACACCATCGCTATGTGCAGTGTCTGCGCCGGAAGAATATGACAGTACGACCGGAAATATGTGACAGAAACGGACAATTGAGCTATACTCTGATGGGCAGATAGAGATTTATCTACGAAAGGCGGATAAAGCTATCTACCATCTATAGCTCACATAGTGCTACGAACGGCAGGAAGTCGACAGTGATGGACAAGCACTCGTTCTTGCTATTCTTTTCTGGACTCTTTGCCGAGATCCAAAATGCCTCCAACGCCTTTCTAGCCGAGATCTCGTTCTCGTGTGTCAAAATCGTGCATTTGATTTTGAAGTCCTTTCCATCATGTGAGTCATTCCTATGCCTGCCCGGCGGTGTTATTAAACTTTTCCTTCTCTTGCTTGCCAAGTGTTCTTTGATTCGCACGCTTAGTACTCTACCAGTTTCACCGATATATAGTGCGCCGCAATCAAGGCATTCGATTTGAACGACCCCTACTTTTGCGTAGTCCCCTACTCTGCCATATGGACGTATTGTGCATTGTTCGGTTGTACAAAGTCGATCATAGAGTCGATTTCCAAGTTGCTTTTTGATATTCGCATTATGTTATTAATCAAAATGACGTCATCCAGCAACTGAGCGCGAGCAATGCATTGTTGGAAGGCAGCTTTGATCTTGTCAGAGAAGAAAGGGAGGCAAAGCGGAAGTTTTTGAGTTTGTCGAATGCGGTTATCGCGTGTATGTTTTGGTCGTGTTTGCGATGCGTTGCTGCGAGCGTTTGCTTAGGCTAAGCATCTTGCTTCGCGGCGCTCATCCTCTCCCGAGCACATCATTGTTGCTGTCCTGAACATATTTCGAACTATAGCCCGCTTAGTGCTTACAGGATGTGCGGAATTCGCGTTAATGAGGATGTTTTTGCAACTATCCTTGCGATACCACTTCATTTTTACAACGTCGTTGGTTTAGTTGACCAGTGTGTTTAAGTAGGGCAGCCATCCTCCTCGTGGCTTCTCGCGCGTTAATTTGATGTACTCGGACTGTAAGTTAATGATCCTAAAACATTCATCCATTTCAGACTGACTTTAGTCACTAAACAGCAGTCGTCGATGTATCTACGGTACATCAATGGCATTCGACTAAGCACAGGTTCCTCGATTTTATTCACAAAACAAATTGCAAGAATCGGTGCTAGTCGCTGACCCATAGCGAGACCGCGGATCTGGGAATAGTATCTTCCAGACCATCGAAAGATTGTTGAGGCCACATGTAGTTTCAATCTTCTTATCGGATCATTTTTTCAGAAAATTTTAAACATCTATCAGCCTATTCTCAATCTTATTATCAAAGAAAAACAAGTTGTTGTATTCTATTCTGCTGAAATGTATTCTAAAGGGGAGGCCTGTGAAGGTCTCTTGCCGAGCAGGACATGGAGGAGGATTAGGGACGGTTCGAAGATAATCTGCGGTACGATTCGGTCTAATGTCAAATCGAAACTTAAGTCCAAGTAGGCCCGACTTCTTATTGTAATCCGTGAAAATTCTTCCCAAAACGCGAGTAACCAGCCAAGAAACTACCGCTCTGAGCAATTGTCATCTAGTAATGATACGACGGCCAGGGTCACAATCATCGGCAGCACTCTACTTTTGCCTGATGCCATTGACCTTCTAAGCTTGGGTTCGTCCTTTTTGCCCTCGCAGTCAATCAATGCAAATACTTGTCGTAAGATAGTTGGTGGCTGCATAGGCTCAGAGACTCGCTTAGAATCAGAGCCAAAAGTGAGAGTACTTCACAAGGAATTAATGCGATTACCCATGATTCCGTTTCCACTATCCTTTTATAAACAACCAGAGCCAGTAAGAGAGAGATTGACGTGAAATTTCGCATCCTATCATCAAGTGTTCTTAAGGTCTTGAAATAAGTATAAGCACGAACGCCAAAGAAACCTAACACGATGGCGTGGTTTCAAGGGAGTTCGCGAATTTGTTTCAAATGGCTCAATTCGTTTATCAGTCAGCGATAAAGGCGGCGAATTCGTAGTGGTAGTCCTAGACCGCAAAATTAGTGAAGCGCATCTCGCAGAGACATCGCTATACAAGTCGGTTACTGAGAAAAGTAAAATAATGTGCCCTTTACTGCTAAGCTACACGTTGAGAGTAGACCGGTTCATTGATATAATGACAGAAGGCAGTATAGGAATATGAACAATATTAATCTACTGGATCCTGGTAGGTTGCAAAGTTGACGATGATGAAGCAGCCAAGGGATACCATTAGAGAGGGTCGGTCACCGGACCTTTGAGTTTCTCCTCGCACCCCGCCCGTATCGGCCACGCACTAAAAAGCATGACTCAGTGCCGAACTCAACAGGGGTGCTTGTACTCACACCTCCCCACTATATTTTAAGTCCGTCCCGGATTTGAAACAAATGCCATAAGGAACAAAACGATAGGGGAGCTGCAAAAAACAAAGGAAAATGAATAAGTAAAGAATCTATACACAAGTAACGAGAAGGGGTTTGAAAGCGCACTCACCGTGGATTTTCAAAATAGTCTTTAGAACTACCGTCCTAGGTCAGATCGGCTGACGATGGCTCCTATCGAGGTTGACCAACTGATGACCCTGTTCCAGTAAGGGATCTTTTGTAGCATTCGGACATGTCCCGGGATGAATTGCCCATGACGGCATCGCGAAATTGCCACATTCATTCTTCGGTAGTCGTCCAGAAACTCCGCTGAATTAGGATCAACATTAGTACGTGTCGTAAGAACAATAACTACCTCCTTTTTACGTCCTTGGACAGAATCTACCGTTGACAAGTCAACGCCTAATTCCACGGCCCTTGAGAATAGCCGCCGGTATTGTTCTCTATAGAATGTGATTGTGCAAATGGCATCCGCAGCTATGCCCTTTCCGAACAATCGGTCAACTACGTCCCAACATGCGAGCGCTTCAGCCTCATTGTAGAGCGATTTGCTGGCAGCCCTTGTCGACGTTGATGGGACAACGACAAACATAAAGGGAATCGAGGGATGAGGAAAAGTCATTACCGACAGCAGCATTTGCCGATCCTCTCGCCGTAAGCCGCTAACTAGTTCACCATTGTAGTCTCGAACGCATATTGATAGTACTTATTCATTCTCAAATCTTAAAAAATCATCATCAAATTCGATGAAGAATGGACACTCTCCAAAATTTCATTTACGAAGAAGTTTAGCCATTCGACGAATATGTCAAGAATTGTTGATGCCAAATCTTCATTGTTGACGCCGTAAAAATTTGAAAAGCTTGATTGTTATATGGGTGATAAGGAATATAGGGAAACGAACTTTGCCAGCTTGGGAGTCTTCGCTGGCAACCTGTCCTTTTGCGATGTTGTTGCATATGATATAGGACCTGTAGTCCGCGAAGACGATTCAAACTGGCAGAGTTCGTTCCCTTGCCCGAGAAAGCTGGCATTTTGTTCTTTCCAAGGTTGATTTTTATTTCAAGCAGAGCATGTCCCAGGTACGCAAAATATCTTTAGCTTGATACTTTGCCGGACGCTGCCTTTGAGATTATTGAAGAAAAAAAACGGGACCCAATAGAAGAGGATTTTGGATAAAAAGGTAGACTAGCTTATCTCTAGTACGGTTCACATTTGGAAAAGATCATTTCCCTTGAACCCAAAATTGAAGACTTTAAAGTCTGGTTTGTTCGATGCACAGACTTCAACATACCAAATATGAGAAACTTACTCAATTTACGTCTCAAGGCTTTTTGTCACGTTACTATAGGTATAAGGTAGACTGAAGAGGTATCGTCCCTTCGCTTAGTCGTAGCGGGCACGACTTGCGGACTAGGATACGAGCTGGTCAAGATCGATAAACTGCTGATTTTTCTCCATTCGCTCACATTGACGGAGTGAGCTCTCGCTACCAAAACCGCGCCGCTTTAGAGGTACAATGCCTATGCCCGCTACAATAGTGTGAACAACCGATAGACTAGTTTATCTCTAATAGGGCTAACATGTTCTGTTGCCTACCCCTCCGATATTCTCCGAACACCACTGCCTTATCTATCTGCCATTTCTGCTTTATTCCTTCACTGCACATGAGCGAATCCTATCGGGAACCGGCACTACACCAAAGACAGTTTTCTCAGAATCACATGTTCAAAAATGAAATTTACTACAGATACTACTCTAAACATGGAGGTAGTTTTGACTCCTTTGTCGATATACCGTTTGGCAAACCAACCAATCGCTAATACCGTAAACGTTTGCATCAAGTATTGGGAACGAGCCACCACATTGTACATGAATGCGACAACGACTGATTTCGAGACAATGTATGTGCAATGGGATTTCATAAAACACGTAGAATTTAACTTAGTTTGTCAAAAGCGTGCATAAATTCTACAGTTAGTAATTCATCTGGCCATAGATACATAGTTGAAATTTTTTTTTCAAAAGTTCGCAACAGAGGGCTGACCGGTTCTTGCAGGGCTAACTCGGCCTGCCTCATAGCTTATAAGCTGAAAATTTCCACGAAGCATCTTAATGTCGATCTTTCATACGATTTAACAAAAATTCCTGAATTTTTCAGAATTTGCGGAGCTTTGATCTGAAACCAATGTAAATAATCTGGCAAGATGCTTTAGTTTTCATTAAAATAGCGCGGAGTGTTCTAAAGCATCTAAGTACGAAAATTGAGAGAGATCCAAAAATGTACTTGTAAACTCATGTAACTTAAATTCGAAAACTTAGCGCTCCGCGGCGCTCTTGTCGCGACAGCTCAAACAAAAGCATTTTTGAAATTTTGACATATTCGCGCTAGATTTTGAAAGTCCAAATTTCCGATGGTTTGCAGCGATAAAAATGTTGACGGAAAATGCATGAGTTTTGCGCAAGAGCTTGGAACCCAATCGTATTAATAAAAATAGGCAGGGCAAAGTTTTGCAAATGTTTCGTTTAGTTTCTGTTAAATTAAAAAACATGATCAAGATTATTCCTTTTTGCGCTTCTCTTTGCAAGACGCCAATCTCAAATTAGACTTCGTGTTTCTTTTCATTTCAGTACGGGTCACTTTTCATTACCAGCACGGTGGTTTATTCGTTTGTCGAACTTCATTATTTGCAGTTTTTTCTCAAAGGCACATTTCATTCCTTAATTTGCCAGTCTAGAACCTGCTCAGTCACCTATGTAAAAATTCGGAGCTTTTTACCTTTGCTGCGAAATTATTCATGCCCAATAATTGTTTCAAAAGCCGACATATCTCAATCTGCCAGTTGTTTTGATTTTTGATGTAGCTCCTCAAAAGAAGGTTACAATGACTGTTTAATCAAACAAAGTGTAGGGCTTAATGTGTACATGCAGAAAGAAAAAGATGACATTGCGAAATGAAACCGTGCCCGGTTCTAAGGACTGAACGGAGACACTTTGATATACTCTAATTTCAAGCGTACAAGGCCTTTTTCGTTGTTATAGGCAAGCCGCTCAGCCGCTTCACTGTTTTTGGAACAGAAATCCTTGTGTCGTAGAGTTTTCTCAAGCAATATGCAGCATGGTACGAGGCCCTTTGGTCGCGTAGTTTTTCATGCGTGCTTAGTTGCTCGATTATAGAACCTCCCCCCCCCGCTTGTACGCGTGAAAACGAAGGTTATACAATGATGCTCCGCTTGTCTTAGAACGTTCTTCTATTTTTTTACTACTTTTAGAGTCCTATTGACATTTTCTTTTCCAAATGTAGTACCTTTGAAATGCTTTTCATGTCTCTTGCATAGTTGGCAGGATTCCGTTTGTTTATGACATAAGAGTGCTTTCCGCAGCCGCGCAAAACTCTCATAAGCTAACCCTGATCGCACAATAACAGGTGCCTTAGAAAAGCGGTATTATCTTTACAATAGAGATAACGAGGTGTTCAACCACTGTTGGAGAATCGCAATAGAGTTAAAAAGTCAGCTACCTTTAGTTCAACGGGGGGCAGTCTAAAAGCAAGGTAAACAGCTATATTGAACATAAAAATGTGCGTTCGCAGCTACGCAGTGTCTTGTCAAATTGATGAAACAATTTAAAGCTGCTCACCATGAAGCGAGCGGCTATTAGTTTGTGGAAAGGAGTTGCACACTAAACATATCAACCCTTCGTTAACATTAATTCAATTTGTGCAAAAATTGTTTTGTATGCCAAAGTATTTTTGAGGCGGTAGAAAGTGTCAAGGCGGATCAGCCAAAAGATACCTTAGTCATTACTTTAAAATGTGAGAAAGTTGCTGCGCTTTAGGCGCCGTTCACAAATTAACCATATATATCAAAAACAAAAGTAGGCGATTCTAACATTGAACACTCCCACTTTGTCTGTCATTTTCTATTCCGCCTCAGCGTGCAAAGTTAAGCGATCAGGCCTTCCAGACGCAAGAAGATTGGGATGGACTGGAGGTAGGCTTGTCTAATCTTGTTTTTTGTATAAAAATTTGCCACAGGATACTTTTGACATCAATACTAGTGCTAGTGAAAGGCACTGTGGCCATGGTAAGCATGCCTGATGACTTTATTGAACCAAATGAAGATGATTTTAACAGAATATATGTAGACGTGGATGCATGGTTTTTCACAGTCGCTGGAAAACAAGCTCAGCCTCAAGACAAGTTGTTATAGATGATTTCACTTACGCCTTTCGATCCTTCTCCATATTCAGCGAAACAGGAGGAATGTCGTAGATTGAACAGTGTAAAAATCCTGCCTGCAAGACTAACGGCAAGAAACTCTATTCATGAGTTGTTGATGTTTCTAAATTGTGTATTTAGGAAGATCTTCTCTGTCAGCATATTATTCGCTTCTTCAGATGGCAGATGGAACAATTATCGCACGTCAGCGAAAAGGTTTGTTTCAAAGCTTTGAAATGTGTTTCTTGACTGTTTTACAAGTAGGACTTGTAGTACTCTTTAATTCAACGGCTGGAAGGCAACTGCTCGCATTCGCTACGCAGTCTGCGCTCTCGCGCGCTCGAGCTCTCTGAACATGTCCTAGCCTTCAAAGCCCTGCCTTCCGGCCGCCAATCCTGTTGAATCAAAGTAGAATCTTATAGTGCATTCAGAATGCTACAAATTTGTGGAGGAAGCTGCTTCTCATGCGAAACCTCGCAAGCAATTTAGATTGACGGGCCGCATGCATTAACCCCCCCCCCCAATGGTAACCAAAACGCAGTTTAAATGAAGTGCACATCCCGATGTTCTACTGAATTGGATTTTCGTGTGCTCTAACTATTCGCAAGTATTTCTATTACCCTTTCTATAACCATATTGAACAGAGCAGAAAGTTGTATACGCCGCATTTCCCAGCCTTTTGTGATCCCTGATGCTCCCCAAAACCAACAGTGCTAAGCATGCTTCTAATGAGATAAGGGTAAATAATGTATCAAAGTCATGAAAACTGCGATGAACCACAGCGAAAGTTGGGTTGATCGAAAACCCCAACATTCTAATGACTCATGCTTCACAGAAATTTGATTAACCGCACTGGGTCAGATAATCAGCACACTCTGGGATTTTTCTTAACCAACTTCGAAGGATTAATGGCTTTGAAAAGGTATCGGTGGGCCGCCGGGATTATCAGGGATCATAGATGAAACTAGAAAAGCGGCCTGTACAACTTTTTCCTCCCGTTCAATAAGTTTTGTACAAAAGGGGTAGTGAAAGCACTTACCTATCAGATTGCCTTTAATCTAGAAGCGAGAGCTTTAGGATGATATTTTTTTGTGTTGCGTTCACCTCCGCTGCGGGTATAATCACTGCGTGCGGATTTAGATAACCAAATCCAAGATAGATGACATTACAGAAGCAATGCAAAAGTTGGCATCTATAGAAACATAAAATACAATGGTTTGTTCTGAAGGAAGATTAATGCTTTTAGTGAAATTTCCATATGAAAATGCATGAATGACCGTCTTCCGCATCAATATTGTGTTTTGAATTTATTTGGCAAGGCTATTGGCATAGCCCGATGGAGATGCTACAAATCAAAAAAAAACAAAAATTCTGTTTTTACCAAGGCGATGCTGTGCTGTTTCCACATAAGTATATTTATACTAGAAACCTCTTAAGCTACGATTATAAAATCTCAACCCTCTACAATCACTAGTTTGAAGAAATATTGGTTTTAGCATGAAACAAGTAAAGGAAGCTAAATCCAATATTTCTTGGAAATAAGACATTGTAGAAAGCTGAAAGTTCGCAGCTGTACTTTAAGGGCGTTTCGTAAATATTCTCTCATATGGGAAAAACGAGCAGCACAATCTCGTTCTGCATAAATATAAAAAACGTTTTCTCGATTTTTATAATAGCTTGCAAAGAAACATATTGATATCGATCTTTAGTGCAAAGTGTATATGCGCGCGTGAATGTACCGGTAAGGTACCGTCGATTCGTTGACCGCATGAACTGTTCAAACGCTGCGAAGCAGTGGGGCGCGGTTGGATTGTCGCGAGAGCACGACTTGTACAACGGCGAGTTTGTACTAAGACAAGCGTTTTACCTTGCGGTGCGTGCTTTCACTGTTGTCCAGACCATGCAGTCAACGAATCTTATAGATAAAGCTGATGTCTGTTTGTATGTCTGTCTGGGTGTACGTATGTACCAAATAGAAAACTCCATAACCGATCCGGACCAAACTTGGCACACATTCACTTTGGGCCCCGGCGGGTCATAGACTACTTTTCGTCATCGATCGATATCGATTTTATCGATTTTATCGATTTTTTGTAAATTTTGACGTGCGGGGCTGGGAGTTTGCACAGGGGGGTAATCGAGCATGCTGATTACGAATACAACATTAGTTTTCAGAATTATTTGATTACTTTTATCGATTTTGTCGATTTTTGCAAAGTTTGACTATGGGGCTAGGTGAAGGAAGGTAGGTGAGCATACTGATTACTAACGCAGCGGGAATAGGGAATTTCAAGTAAAAGTGGGAACAGGGAAAGATTGTATAGGGGTAGGGATGGAAGCTTTACGTTTTGACAGAACCGGGCGGAGCCGGGTAAGTCAGCTAGTCAACTATACTTTGAGACGGGAATGATTTTTTCCCAGACATTCTGGCCCCTCTCTTGGCTCTTGGTTTTGAAGCTGAGGTATGTTGAAGCTGGCGCGAATGAGAAGTCATTCGCGGGGCTTCTCTGCTTTTTCAACTTGATTCATTGAATGATTTATCGCTGGAGGAATTCAAAAATGGGAAGCTTTGAGAAGCTTATATATTATCGACATAAATGACGCAAAGCTTTCCACACAAACTGAGGGTGTTAAGCTCCTGATGCTGTACAACCGAGCCCTCAAAGGCAGCGTTCAGGCAAGCCTGAACACATGGGAATCTTACGTGGTTAGTGATTTTAGAGCCCTAACTGAGCCATTGCCCAACTGGCAGCTCAAGTAGTGCTTTAAAGGCTGAGGTATTCCCTTGAGACTGGACCCCATGACCGTATTTCGCATGGACTCGGCGCGACGCGCGAATCCTCGCGCGAAACTGCCACGAATTCATGCGAATACGATCCTGAGGTCCAATTTGGAGGCGTATATCTCAGCCAATAGTGAGTCATTTGCACTGCTCTTGGGCAGTGCCTTAGTTAGGGCCCCAAAATTACTTTCCATGTGTAAACGCCATAGGTCCATTTCTGCCTTGACGCTGTATTTAACGACACACTACGCGCGAGTTCGGTAACAGCTCAGCGTAAGCGCATTCTAAACGCACAAAATAAAGGACATTTCATCGATCTAAAAGGGTTATACACGCTATGCATTTGTAGCCTGCCGTGTTGGATTCGAAGACATTCGACGAATTGCCAAGTCGCATGATATTGGGGCTTCATTAAGCAATCGCTCAAATCCCACTGCAGAAAATGAATTTTGAAATAAAAAAATTGCTTCAAAATGTATTGGAATAGAGTTGCACAATCAGCGTAGTTGTTTTGAAGCTATTATAATTAGTTCGAAGAGCTGCTTTAGAGTCCCTAGCGTGAAAAGTCTTTTTATGATGAAACGCGATTTTTCAATGATCTTTTGTACTATAGAGTTTCGTTTTGAGCTTTCTATTTGAGGCACCCACATTCATGACGGTGTCACCTGCACCAGTTCTACATGAAAAACGATTTTTTTTGGATTTTTTTTTTGCAGCGGGATTGAGCGTTTACTTAGGTGAGGACCCAGTTCTCATACAGTACACAACACTGTGCGAGTTAAAGTTGAGCATGTTAAGGTCAGAAATGTTTACATAAAGTTACATGAATGGTCCGTCAGACATCATCCATTGGATATAATGAGAATGACACAGGTAATTTTCGCATTCAAGGTTGCTCAGACTTTTGTAAGATCCATAGCTTGGTTTAGCGCAACAGGATGACCGCCACTTTCAACGATGCTGAAAAACAGGATCTCGCAAATCTGGTAGCCCTCATCTCGGTGAACGAATTGCTTCGACTCATTTGTGAAGAACAATTTTATTACTATTTCAGAGTTATGTGGATTCGGACCCGGTTCTCAGAGCCCATCGTGAAAGATGTAAAGCTTTTCAGTTCAGTTATGGGGAACTGAAATAACTAAGATAGCATTCTTGGCTGAAACTGAAAGTTCTAAAAGTCTCCAATTCACAAATGTTATCAACTGACTTTGTTTATCTATGCCATTATATGGTTTCAGTGTAAATCGGAATAAAAGTTGCACGTCTCTTCACACGAAGTTGTCACGAAAGCATGTACCTGGTTCAAAATTTCCTCTGTGCAACACACATTCTCGAATAATCGCTGGGGTGGCAGCCATGCGATTTATAATCGGGCACAGGAAAAATAGATCGCTCATTTCTTGCAATCCCTTTGTAAAAATTTGGAAAAATCTTGGCTGTTATTTAGACGAACGTTCAGAGGACCATTGCTGCTTTTTCCATAGATTACTTGCGGCGCAGAGTCGCATTCTCGCTTACTTTTCACCAGAATAGGGGACCGCACGGTCATTTGTGGAGGACCGCACATTCCATTGGCACCTTTCACTGAGAGAGTACCCCAAACTTGAGTCTTGAACAGCAGTGACACCTTTGCCATTCGGAGTGCTACCTTTGTACGGCGTACACCCGAAAGTTACCCGTTCCGAGCGTTCGCTGAAAGTTTGTAATTCTGTTTACTGCCCGTTGGCAGAACATGCGACAGTGAAGGAAGTACCGCTCGCTAAATTTTCGGCTACATTTTGGCTGATCGCTTGCAAGAAAGCTCGAGTACGCGGCGCACCTGCCTCGCCGATTTCCTGAATTAGAGGCAGCGTTCATTCAAAATCCATCCCACCCAAGTAAGCACATAATGAAGCGGAGCTTAGGAGTATCCGATCTGCGTTGGTCCGATTCTTTGACGTGGCCTCTAAAAGGAGTTACGGGCCTGTGATAGATATCACAGACCGCCCCTCGCATCACACACCTCCCCCTGAGGACGCTCACGCAAGTGCTCAGCTCCTCTCCGCTGGCAAGCCGAGGAAGATGAACAATCCGAAACTCGTCTGCGCACTCAAAGCAGGTCCCTTTGAGTGCGCAGAAATCGAGCAGAAATCGGGGTTTTCTAAAGGTTCTGAACAGTTGGAACTTTATAAGTTGTGATTAAGATTACGGAAAGTTCCCTGTATGACAAAAACATGGGAGGCGAAATTTTGGGTGGAGCTACCTTGAAGGTGTTGTTTGTATCAAAAGAGCTATGTAGATTGCTGCTTTAAATAATAGGAACTTATTGAAGTATTAGGTTGCCCCGAAATCAAACCATTTTTTCGAGTGGATAACACTGCTTTTTTTCTAGCAGACCTTGAGTAGTGTTCGATAGAGCAAAGGAAGCTCTAGGAAGTTACTCCAAACATCCTCAGGATGTAATCTAGATAAAGTTTGGAGCGAAAACTAAAATTCCCAAAGTAACCTTCGAATCGGATCCCGTTTCAAGATATTCTCCTGGATCTCTAATATAGTGGGACAAATACAGTGCTGGCCATAGCTATAAAGTCACCCAAAAAATCACTGTAATTTGCCCTCTCTTGTTCGAAATTGTCTGAAAAACCACTATTTGCAAACTAACGTTGTATCATTGACCACAACGGCTCCCAATTTCATTGGTTTTGGCCGGAGAAAAATTGAAAAATTTGAAAAAAGGGGTTTTCAAGGCTGGTCACAGTTATAAAGCCACCTCTCATTTCCAATCAGTACTACGTTTTTTAAACATGAAATTTTTTGTACATGTACAACGTCAAAATATTAAACATTCATCACGCTTGGAAGCAGTCGCCTTTTCAAAAAGAAGATTCATCCTGCATTTGCTACAAAATGTATAAAAGGTTATGATGTTTAGGAAAACTGCCTTTTCACCGAATTCTGAAGCATCTGTTTGACTCGGATGAAGGTCCTAGGCTTCGCCGAGCCTTTACAATGGATATGGTGAAAAGCGCAGGAGTCAACATGGCGTAGTCGCTGATACTGATAAGTGAGCCTCTACCCCACCTCCAGGTAGATGAGTTTTCGAACCGCAGAAATTAGGTTCTGAAGCCCGAAAAGCTCTGTCACGTGCTTAGCACGTCGCCTGTACAACGATAGACTTGTGCGCATAGCTTGAACGTCATCGCAGCTCTCAGGATTTTGGTTCCGCCTTGAGTGTTTTTCTGTCAAAAATGAGTGGTGCACTCTGCCTGATCATGACACACTCTGACCTCTCCGTCGAGCGGAAAACCGCTCAAAATTTCAAAATTCTAGTATTCCTGACAGTTTTGTAAGATTTGACTTGAAGAAGAGTTTAAAGCAGTAAAATCCGAAGTCATGTGAGATACACTGCGCACAACCAAATTGCAGGCAAAGCGTTTTGAGTTCAATGCTGCAAGTACGTCTTTGTAAAAAGCCTGACAGCTTCTGCGTGAGTACGTCACCATGCAAACAAGGTGTCAACTTTCAACCGAAAATTTTCGCGCGTCAGAAATCGAGTTTTGCGTCTCAGAAGCTGCTTACACCTCGGTAAGATGAGGCTCGTTTACCAAGATCGGCGATTACGCAATGTTGAGTCCAGCACTTTTCACCATACTCATTGCAAAGGCTCGGCGAAGCCTAGGACCATCGTTCTAGTCGAAAAAATGCTTGAAAATTCGGTGAAAAGGCAGTTTTTCCAAGCACTATAACTTTTATACATTGTGAAGCAAAAAATGCAGGATGAATCTCCTTTTTGAAAAAGCGACTGCTTCCAAGCGTGATAAATGTTTAACATTTTGATGTTGTATATGTAGAAAAAATTTCATGTTCAAAAAGCGTAGTACTGATTGGAAATGAGAGGTGGCTTTATAGCTGTGACCAGCCTTGCAAACCCTTTTTTTCAAATTTTTTTTTCCTTCGGCCAAAACCAGTGAAATTGGGAGCCGTCCTGGTTAATGATATGACGTTAATCTGCACACAGAATAGTGGTTTTTCAGACAATTTCGAACAAGAAAGAGCAAATTACAGTAATTTTTAGGGTGGCTTTATAGCTATGGCCAGCAGTATATAGGGCTTATCAAATTGAATGTCGTTTGCACCAGCATCTCCATCTTCGCGCTGGGCTCTGCGTCTCTTCTGCGGTACATGCTCCCTAATCACTTCCAATTGATTGCTGCTCCGCTTCTCCCACGCTCGCCCTGGGGAAGTGCTCAGAGAGCAGCCCTGCGGAAGAGACGCAGAGTCAAGCGCGAAGATGGAGATGCCAGTGCAAACGACACTCAATTTGATAAACCTTATATGTAGTATTCACAAATACATTGCTGGTTTTCCGCGGTGAAACGCAAAATTGTCACATTTTTCGTTTTTTTTTTCATCTCAAGCTTGATCTTACCTTATAGAGCACGTACAAGTATTTCTAGACTGCACTCATTAGGCTTGCAGTATACAATCCGATGTGTGGGATTGAGGCGGAGGGGGGGGGAAGGTACGGAGTTAGGCAATTTGAAGCATCTTCTTATTTCTGATTTCTTGGAGCGAAAACAATTCAGCAAATGCATTTATATACACTATAGATATTAGCAGCAAAAAACAAAAAAAGCGCTTGCAGGCGATAAAATTTTTTTCGAACTTGGCTCTAAAATTTCCCTGGGCGATTTAGGTGGGTTTCTAATTTTGTAAAGCTTGCTTTGCTTTATCGAACACTGCCTTAAGTCTGCTAGAAAACAATTTGATCTATCAAAAACAATTTGATTTATTCAAATGAGGGTTTTTTGCGACACTTTGAACATACTTGAGACCACCTCCTGAACTTCAAAAGCGCTGACATTTGATAGTAACTGTCGAATCAACGATGCCTAGTTTAGAATAAGCACCAGAAACTAATCACTTTAACGGGAAGGCCTCATACACGAGTTCGTTCGCCATTGAGAAAAGCTCGGAAAACTCAATAACCTGCCGCAGAAACTGTATTCAAAAAGAAAAACAAAATGTATAGTTTGTGTTAACTAGAAATCTTATCACCAAGCAAATTTCACGGCTTTTACTCGGAAAAGGAAACACTATCAGACCGAGCACTCAAAAACATTTCAAGAATTTTTTGAGCTGTCCTTCACGCTGCAACCTATAACATTTTATCACTTTATATATGCATGGCGTTCTGCTATGTCTGCCCAAAATCTCACGAAGATTTCTAGCTATTATTATTCTCAAGGGTTTGAATGCCATTCTAGCAATAAAAGCTTGTATTTACAGCATGCACCACCCCGCCCTCCCTTTCTACCCTACAGTGAACAATTTTGATGAGAATCTGCAGCAAGAGTAAAGCAACCAAAGGTCCATCAATCACCATCGATCTTGTAGCTTTGCCATCAGTGTTAAGTGATTTAGAGCCAGGCGGATGATCAAAGCTTTGGTCGAGGACAGTTGGTCGCTAGAAACAGGTATTCACGGAAATGCAAGCTAATTGCCCTTTGATTAAAGTCGTTGGGATAGTTGGCTATGAAAAAATGTTTATAAATTTTTAAATAATAGAATTTGTTAAAAAGTAAGGGAAGCTTTCTGAAAAGAAGATGCGTTGATGGCGAAAGGGAAACTCTGCAATCTACTCTTATTTTGGTTGCGAAAATTACAAATCAGTAATATCAACTCAGTAACATGAACGTGTGCTGCTCGATTCATAACCTCATACTTCTTCAGCAAAGCATTGGAAATCTAAGAAAAATAGAGTTCAAGTCACTTACTATCATGGCGAATAAACTCACAACGCAGCTGATTTGGTATGAAAACGATAAGAACTTAGATTTTTTGACATCTCCATAAAAGCACTTGAATTTCTGCTTGAGACCTTAAAAGAACTTCAAGCACAATTGCAAGCAAACAGTATCAACAAAAAATTTTTAGTTAATAAAATTAATGATTTTTGTTAGGTAAAAGATTGTAACAGATTGTTTTCTACCATTGTCAAAGACATTAGGAGTTTTCACAAGAAACTTCGTTGCTTTCGTTACACATTGAGCTGTGCACACATGTGTTTGATTACGATTTATTTCTATTTTAAATAATGATTTTGATGATTTGACTCAACTCCATATGTACATGAATACATTTTTACAAGTCATCTGCACATTTTATTCCGAATGAAAAAACTAGACGTTTCTCTCTAACGTAGTAGGATCTGCAAAATGATATAAACAAAATATGAACGGTACAGTTGTTCAATTGAGGAATAAATCTCTATCAATTCAAACAACATCTACAGATATGACCAGATAACCGCATGAAGTAGAGGTAGGTATTACACTGGGATAAAGAAACTCAGTAAACTTGTTTTATTAGATTCAGATTATAAAAGTATCACATTTTGAGGAACGGCTTGGTTAATAACAAAAGATTGAAGAATGTAGGTCAAAGAGATTTTCTTGACATAAAGTAGAAGAAAATAGCAGCAACGAAAGTGTACATAATTTTCTTTACAGCTGTAGGCAAAGGTCTAGCTTCAGAAATGGAATCTACCAGACTGATCTCCAACTGAAAGAAAACTAGGAAGTTTAAATTTGAAAAATCTGATGAATCCTGAATTTTCTATAAGATCCAAAGTTCAGGTCAAATTTAGAAATTTATGTGAAGATTCGCAGGGGCTAAGATGAGCATATGGCAGGAAGAGAATAGGAAGAGCGCTTACAAAAAGGAGCTAATTCCTGTCGAATCAAACAACATATAAGCCTCGCACGCATAGAGTGGACGCCATTGCGCCTGATCAAGATAGTACACATTTGTAAGAGAGGGCAGACGGCTGGAGAGAAGAAAGAGCGTTTAATGTGACAGACTCCGACAGTGTCCGTAGTGGCGACCTGTCTCTGCGCGCCATGAATTGCTCATTAATATAAATTCGCTAATTAATACGTATACTGTACTCCTCTGTTGTAACGCGCTTTCTTCCTTTAATTTTCTACTGTAAACGAAAACGTTGCAAGACCAACGATGCTAGACTTCCCCGCCCCCTACAAATGCCTCAGATGAGGCATACGGTAGGTGATGACCGCTTGGCACCTACCGTATGCCTCGCCTGAGTTCAAAGATACTGTAAAGAAAAAGAATACAGTATCTTTAGGAGTTTGTTTCAGTGTCAAAAGCGTCTATCTTTCGTAGTGATGGAAGCCCAGATTGGCCATTCCATGTTCGCTCTATGAAGCCTAACTCCAGCTCTTCAGCATCTTGCAAGCTAGCTGCCTTGCGACGCATTTGGCCTAAAATCAAAGCTGCTAGACTGGTCCAAAAACGTCCATATAACTTACCTATTAAATGATCTGTTCACCCCGTCTGATGAACACCATAAACAGCAAATATCATACTGATCCAAGCCCAGAGTCACGTCCGGGGATCGAAGAAGGGTTGGAGGAGATATGATGGTAGAGACGAGTTTGTGGTACCGTACCACCGGAGCGAAAAGCGTAAGGCATGACGATCGACGACCATAAGCCGGTTGAAGACGTTGACTCAAGCGGCGACGTCGTCGTTGCTTCTGATTTTGATGAAGATGAGACCCAACAAGTGAGTGGACAAGTATGTTCCCAGGGTAGGTCGTATCTGGAAAGCAGAAAAGTTTGTTGAAGGAAAGTTTTTAATCGGGGTACCTTGGGGCACTTTACTACACCATGGCTTACCTATTCTCTTCCTTAGCTATCCCACAAGTAGCGGGAGAAAATGGCTGATAGCGAGATTTGACAGCGACATGACGGCCAGTCCTAGAGAAAATAAAATATGCATGATTTCCAAAAAGAAACTTAATAATATGCGCAAACCACTTCTGCCTAAGAAAAGCAATCAGCACGAAAGCGAAGCCTAACGAGGCCAGTATCGCAATGATCGCCAGTAACAACATGGTCGCAGGCACAAGATTTTGACCCAGCTGCATTAGGATCGAAGTCGAAAAGGCAGAGAGTTCTTCTGGCATCTGCAATATTTAAAATTATTACTACTAGGAAAAATAGTATTTCTTATGGGAATGATCACAACAGGGGTGAGTATTGAATGACTAAAAAACTTGGGGTCATAGTGGTGTGTGACTAGTCAGGTCATTCCTAATGATGCATACAAAGAAGTTGATGGTTTGCAGGTGTGGGATGTGAGAAGGCTAAATAAGTGTAAAGTTTCGAAAAAAATTCGAATCTCACATTTCTAATTAGTTATACAGTCGAATTTTACTTTGAAATCACTTCTCAATATTACATAGAGTCAAATCCATAGGTAGCAACTACGATCCCGTAGATTTTTTTAAGTATATGGTGCATTTGCGGTGGTAGCAACTTCTGATTATTATTTTGGATAATGGCACAAATATGCTTCCTATAATCATTTTACGGGGAAATTGACATTACATTCTAAGCCCACATGTATCTCTTTTGAGATTACATTGGTACGATCGCAAGTCGATGATATTCGAATAAGTTAATAGGACAAAATTACTAGCATGGCAATTTGTCAACTCGCGACTACTGTCAGCACACCGTATATGCAGTACGTGATCGTATATGATATGTACGGAATTGGTAGATTGCAGAAAAGCAAAGAACTGTGATATTTAGCAGGTACGCAACAAGTTATAGAAAGTCCTAGACTAACCCTTTGTTCAACGATGGTCACATTGGATAGATCAGGGTACCATGGACATCAATCAGTAGCTTTTGCACAACTAAAGTGACATTGAAGCACTTGGCTCGAATCTCTACCAACTTTTCACCCAACTCGTCCTCCGACATCGCAATACTAGCCATATCCCGATGACGTCGAATCCGGCCCTGTAAGTTTAGGTTATCGCACCATATCCTCCACCAACAAAGGGTTTCATTCAGGGTCAAGCGTGTGATGCGACTGTCGCAACGGGGGTCGTAAAGGGGGCCTACGGTGAGGGGCGGGGGTCGCAAGAGGGGGTAGTTTGGATAAAAAACCGTACAAGTATAATTGAAAGCAAATCAAATAGTAAGTAATTATTACATGTTCTTAAAATAAACATGGAATGCCGTGTACCAATGTATCAAATAAAAATGAGTGAACAATAATTTGGAAATATTTAGCTAGAAAGCGTAGAAATTCGCTTCATTTGTTGCACTTTTGAAAGATTATGACTTAGTTCTTTTTTTTTTATAGGAATCGAGTTCTTTTTTTTATAGGAATCGCTATTTCTCCCGCAAAATATTGTCTCAAACGGGGACTTTTAGAAGCTCAAATACTATTATACTAAAGGCATGTATGTGTGATAAAGTGTTGGATGTACCGATTGGTGCAGACATCCTGCTTCCGAAGGCTCACTGAAGACTCGCACAGTCGACAAAAGCGCATATCTCTATCAACGCTAATCATCAATAATTTGTAATTCTGTTTGTAATACTTTTCATACGGTCTTTACAATTTATGTGTACTTTAGAGGTGCTCTATTACATTTGTGCGAAATTTGGTCCTACTTTATAACTTCGGATTTTCTTATGATTTTATGTATGGTGGCAAAAAATGACAAAAGGGGGTCGTATCTGGGTCGCAACTGAATCCGGAGCGATTGAAGCTTGTTGGCTGCAATTTTGCTGTAATGCGAGGCCATCCTCCTACTTTCCCTCATAAAAATTGCAGGCTGTTTTATAACTTTTCTGGTAAGTTACAAAATTTTTAGCTCAAAAATCCCAGTTTTTACTTTTTAGGATCGCATCTAAATTTTCGAGAGTCGCATCTAGATTTTTTCGAGCTTACTATTCCTCAAGGGCTTAAACTTTTTCTTTGGATAGTCTGGGCACTATACTACAGAACCTATGCTTTGCAGCTTCTCAGTCTTTTCCTCGCCCTAGTTACGAATTTTTAAACTACCGTGCTTTTGCACGTTTTTGAGTCGTTCTGCACTGCGCTGAAGCGGTTTTTTCGCAGAAAAAACTGTGAAAGAGTTAAGATCTGAGCTTCTTAGTCGAAAACATCTTTTGTAGTTCAAGAATGTTATTCTGTTCTCCGTGTAAAAATTTGTGTCGCATACGGGAATCGAATTTGCTGGCCTGAAGTATGCCTGAAATTTCAAAAGTAAACTTGCAGAATCTCAAACATTATTGAAGGTGTGTATATGTGCTAGAGATGCTGGGCGCATCCATTGGCCTAGAAATTCTGCTTCCGAAACCTCACTGAAGCTCTCACGCAGGTGTTTTTTGAGATAAACGTTCGTTTATGCAGGTTACCGCGAGAAATGTGGGCAAGGGAGGTAAGGGGGATAGATGGGGGAGGGGGAGGGAAGGGGGAGGGGGGGGGGGAAGGAAGGGTCGTACGGATGGGTACCTTCAAGGAGGGGGGGGGGGTCGTAAATGAGGGTCCAGGATCGCAACAACACGCTTGACCCTGGTTTAATTGCGCAACCACAGCTGACTTGGATTACGGGTAGCAGTGATTGATGGTTCATGCGGAAACTCATAATTGTTTCGATAACTTCCTCTTGGAAGACACGGATAGAAGCTGTCTGATCACATAAACGCGGGAAGCCATAGGTGGAATTGGTGCCGACATGGCACGAGAGTGCCAAATCTTGTGGTTCACTCTTGCCCAGTGAGAGACGAATGGGCGCGAGGCTTCCTTGAAAAATCTAAAAAGAAAAAGGGGCCCCATAAAATCTAGAAATATTCTTGTACGATTTTTCTTCAAACAAAGTGTAGTTCACAGCTGTGTCCAAGTGAATGAGCCAAATTACAAAATAGATCATGCTTTGATTGCTACTTTTTCGAGAAAATCTAAATTTTTGGTGGATATTCGTTGTTTGGTAATTTAAACTTTGTATAGTCCTTATCTTTGACATAAAGACATAATTACAAATGCGCAGTATTTTTATGAAGCAAAAAAATTCCAGCGCTTCTTAATTTGAATCTTTTGCTATTTATTAGGTTGAAACTCTCTCGTAAAACTGAACAAACTTCTTGAACCTATTGAAGAACCTGGTTTGGTACATCGTTGATATACTCTTTTATTTTGAGTAAGTTTACCATAACTTTTGATTAGAGTGTCGGAAACGAATTCAAATCAAGTCTTCTTTGTAGATTTTCTCCAACAAATTTCCCGTTTCTTCAGATTAGACTCTGAAAATAAAGTCAAAACTCAGTTCTTGCAACCTTCACGCATTTTTTGCGATCACTACAATTTTCCATTAACTACCCCGAGAATTTGAAATCTCGGGGTAGTTAATGGAAAAGTTAATTTGAAGTAGTTAATTTGAATTCCTTCATTCCAAATTTGATCAAATTGAGTGACTTTGTTGGAACTGGAGGTTATCACATTTCCAGAAAATTTTTGATGTTTGATATAGGTTTCAAGCAAAGTTACTTGAATTCCTGTAGAGCAAAAAAAACTGGCTTTAGTGTAGAACATTGGTCATCTCATAAGCGAGGAATATTGTGGTGAAAAAACTATTTTTATTTATTGTTTAGTAAGCTTCAAGAATATAAATTAACCTAGATTTATGTTTTGGCCCAGCAATGAGCCTGACTCAAGTTTTGCACTACCGAATTTGCTCCTTGCCTCACGATTTCTTAGCAAATAATGGCTTTAAACGGCTCATAACTTCGTCCACATAGATGTTAAGTAAATATGGAATACAGATTTGAAATTAGCGTTTTATCTTGCACCTAATGGTAAAAGGCACTTGTAGGGCTATCCGCTTTGGTTTCTGAACATTCCCTTGTCGAGTGTTGATGGTCCTGGCTACTCTCAGCCTTGCAACTTTCTAGCAAGTAAAAGTCCATTCCAAAAGCATTCTGCGGACAGCGGAGGCTGATTTGAAGTCAGTGCTTCAACCTCGTAAAGACAGCATTTCGTAGGAGACCACTGCGACTCAACCTTCCCTTGTAAGAACTGACCTTTCAAAAATTCGCCACACTGGGGCATAATTACTTTTACTGATAGTAATAAATTTTGAGTGGTTGATATGTGATACCCTTAGAAAATCATAGGTAGAATACAACAAGCAAATATTTTTATGGAGATTTGCATGAAAAAAAAAACGAAAAACCAAACCAACACTATGTATTAAATGGGTCCGAAAGTTCGTGCTGTTTCTTATGCTAAATCTGAAATCGTTCAGAAAGGTGATATACAAATCGTTCATATCCAATGCAGAATTTCTTCCTCTTCCCAGCTGCTATGTTTCCGTTCTGACTGTTTCGACAAGCGCTGAGATAATTGCAGCAAACTAGAACCTTCATTTTTACCATGTCTAAAATTTTTATTTAAGACTTCTAAAGTGCTCTAATAAACGCCTGATAGGGCAAACCTTTTGCAAATTATTGACTTTTTGCATTTCCCTAGCATGCTTTCTGGAATTACTTTTTCTGAAGTGACCAAATTTCATACCTGACTCATTCTAACTTCGCAAAACATCAGACATCAAAACAATTTGGGTACCATTGGATGCATCTTCTTCTTCTTCTGACAGCTACCTTTTCTTCGCGAAGCAGGCAACTTTTGCAGACAAATTCGCAGTACTTTCAGTTTCACGGGTGCACTACATTGGAGTCGAATATCAAAATCTATCCATTTTGACTCCGTAATTGCTCATTTACTCGCAACACTAGTGATAGCAATAACCGAGTTTTAGGACTTCAATATTTTGAGAGTTTCGCAGTGTTCGCAGTGTTTGGCGCATTTATGTGTTACGCGACTTTTTCGAAATTCAATGTTTTAATAAAATAGTTTAGCAAATTTCTAAAGAGGAAGCTGAATAGACAAAAAATTGCATTAATTTGAGAAAGGTTTGCCTTTTGGGTGGTTATAACAGCACCTTCAAAAGTCTAAAATAAAAATTTTGAGAATTCACAAAGCTTAGACATGGTAAAAATGAAGTGTTCTAGTTTTTGCAATTATCTTAGCGCTCGTAGAGTCACGATGGAAACATAGCTGTTGGAAAGAGGAAGAATCTCTGCATTGGATACTTTCAGCATG